ATTGAAATGTACCTCTGGCAAAGTGCATAAATTCATCCTTTAGTATCAGAAAAAAAATGGTAAAACAGAATGAATTTGGAAACAATGCTGTTATGGATTCAAGAATATTCATATCATTATTTCCCTAAGCCTTTTGCTCAGAAAAGATCTCATCGCAAAGGATTAGCATTCAAGGATTACTTGCAAAGCAATCTTATTGTGACATCAAAAGCACAAATAGTATTTGAGATGTTCTATGAAATATTGTAGTATGGATTACAGGCTGCAAAGTTCCTGTACATGAGCCTGTGTTTTAAGAATCAGTATGCAAACCAGATTCTTTCTTTCTTTCTTTCTTTCTTTCTTTCTTTCTTTCTTTCTTTCTTTCTTTCTTTCTTTCTCTGACTGACTGACTGACTGACTGACTGACTGACTGACTGACTGACTGACCCTCTCAAAACATATCCCTCACAAAGATTTTTGCTTTCCCAGGGATGGAAATGTAGATTAATGAGGTACATTAGAGCAGAGGAATGCCTTAAAAGAAGGGCTTACAAGAAAGCAGGGAGAACATGTGATAGGATTAATATTAGGGATAGGATTACATGTGAAAGGATTACATATGATAGGATATCATGTTAAGTTTGAACTCTCCTTGTTAACATTCATGTCATTCTCAGGCCACCATGTTTCTTGGCAGAACCATAAATGTTACCTAGAGAAGATAACTACTGTATTTTCTGTTAAAAACTGTTTACCCTGCACTAACAGAAAACTCAGTGAATGGCCCCATGGTGTCATGGATAGAGTGACTGACTGGGACTCAAGAGATCTGGGCTCAAATCAACATGGCCATGAAAATTCACTGAGGCATGCCATGATAAACCACTCCTTAAATATCTAACTTACCTTGAAAACCCATTAGGGTCTCCATAACTCAGCTGTGACCTGATAGTTGCCCAGGCTTGCTGATTCTGCAATCCATTTCAATTTAGTTGATTCCTTGAGTATGTGGGCAGCCAATAGGGCTATCCTCAGCATTAGGCAGAGTTTGGTGGCCATCTCAGGTGGCAGATACAAGGAGGTAGCAATAAGATGGACAAAGAGAGATCACTGGACTAAGCATTGTGTCTTTTAAACCAGGCAGCTGGTCTTCAGGTGTGGTAGATGATTCTGTTCCATCCCAGATAATTTTGTCTTCCACTCCAGAATTATATATAGCCTATCCAACACGATTGTGTATGGAAAAGGAAGGGACACTTGCTAGTCATATCAGGTGGAAGAATGACTTTTGTAAGCCTTGGTAGCTTTGAAAATTCAAAATAGGAAATCAAATAAAAAAAGGTGACCTAGAAGTAAGGAAGTCAAGAGAAAGGAAATAGAGCAGAGTAGGCAATGGAATGAAAAACAAACACCTGAAGGAAGAAAGGTTAAGAGAGGAGATATGCAGTGGGAGAGCAGAGCCAGGGGTCACAGAGTCAAAGCCCTGTGACCTGCTGAGTAGCCGGGACTACAATATTATCAGTCCTCTACCCACCTGAGGTTTTTCTATTCCCTCTAAGCTTTGCTGTTCTCAGAAAGAGGACAGTGTTGCAAACTCTCCACGTTATCATGCAAAGTATTTGAGAGCGAATGTATTTTCGAAGGCTTTCATGGCCGGGATCTGATGGTTGTTGTGGGTTTTTCGGGCTCTTTGGCCATGTTCTGAAGGTTGTTCTTCCTGACATTTCGCCAATCTCTGTGGCCAGCATCTTCTGGAGTAGGAACTCTATCCATGCTCTGTTGCTGTTTGTTGTATAGCAGGTAATGAAAAGCATTAACTTCACAGGTGAGCTGCTTTTCATTTCTCAATATGAACAGGGCCAGTCATTTGCTTTTTGAGTGGTTTTCCTTAAGGCCTGGAGCTTGCTGTAGGAAGTACCACAGTGACAACCTGCATTTCCAAAAGTATTTCTTCAGTTTTCTATTCCCATATTTTCCTCATACCTTCCACTATCTCTAGTGGAAGTCATGAGAATGGAGCCGGTGGAAGGTAAAGGTAAAGGTTCCCCTTTTGTCCAGTCATGTTCGACTCTAGGGGGCAGTGCTCATCCCCGTTTCCAAGCCATAGAGCCAGCGTTTTGTCCGAAGACAATCTTCCGTGGTCACATGGCCAGTGCGACTTAGACACGGAATGCTGTTACCTTCCCACCGAGGTGGTCCCTATTTATCTACTTGCATTTTTGCATGCTTTCGAACCGCTAAGTTGGCGGGAGCTGGGACAAGCGACGGGCGCTCACTCCATCGTGTGGATTCGATCTTATGACTGCTGGGCTTCTGACCCTGCAGCACAGGCTTCTGCGGGTTAGCCCGCAGCGCCACCACGTCCCCTGAGCGCCACCAGGGCCGGTGGAAGGTATGAGGAAAAACTGAGAACAGAAGACTGAATAATTTAAGAAAGTAAGTTAAAACAAGAGATTGGGCAAAGGAACAAAATCGTACTGGACCTTAGGACCTATCCTGTTGAAGAAAAGGGAATGGGCTGATAACAGAAATGTGAGAACTAACAGAGAGAATAACAAGGGATCTGTACTTAGAATGATTTAGAGAAGTTGTTCACAGCTGTGGCCATCGCAGATCTCAAATGTGTCACAGTTATCTCATCAGAATACTATGGCTGGGATCCTGCTGGGCACCAGCAGAGCAAATATTCCACCAGGGAAGCTCAGTGGGGCTTTCTGTGAGAATGTGTCCTACTGGAACACAAGAAGAGAACCACATTCCAAATAGACAGCTTACACGTGTGTAACAATATTCCAGATACCTCCTTTCAAAAATGTCATAAAAGTCAACTATTCATGCTGCATACATTTCATGAGAGATTTGACTCCTGGCCTAAATCTCTGGGGAAAAAATGTTGCCCTAGAACTGTGATATTTTGACCAAGTTGATGTGAGTGGCAGGTAATTCAGCTCATATTTCAACTGCTTCAAGAAACCCAGTGTGCTAGATGACAAAGGCAGACAGACACTAGGTGCAATTCCTTGTAATTCTAACTACGCACAGTCCTGCTTTACAGTGATAACAAGCAACAAGGCCTATCAGGTTACAAGCTGTTTCATGAGTAGTTTTGCTGTCATATGTAGGTACAGGAATGCTTTAACTCGTGAGTAGAGATGGGGACAAATTTAAAAACAGATCACTTTTTCCGACAAATATAGCCAATGAGTTAAATATTTGTTGATCCACATTTGTGGGTTCCAGAGACCCCCACGAATAAGAAGGGACAAATATTTACCTGTTTTTATTCGTCCTTCATATTAAAAAACAAAACAAAATATCATTCTGCCTACCAGCTGCCGATCAGCTGATCGGCGGCAGAAAGGCAGCCACAACCCCACACAGCCACCCAATACCACAGCCTACCCCATCCCCTTCCTTTCCCTACCTTAAGCCCCACCCCACCCACCCCACTTGCCTTAATTGCTGCTGCCAAGGTTTTCTGGTCTCAGAGTCACACATGTAAAAATGGAGACTGCCTGCCCTTTGCAAAGATGGCGGTTGAAGCTTCATTTAGGGTAGGGAAGCCACAGCTGCCATCATTGCAAAGGGCAGTCTGGATTCCCTTAGCCTGCCTTAGGGGAATCCAGCCTGCCCTTTGCAAAGATGTCAGCTGCAGCTTCCCTACCCTAAATGAAGTCACAGCCACCATCTTTGCAAAGAGCAGCCAGTCTCCCTTTCTACATGCGGTGGCTGCGAAGGCCTGTTGGAGACCTCGGCAGCAGCTATTAAGGTAAAGGGGTGTCAGTGGGAGTGGGGTGGAGGCTAAGGTAAGGAAAGGAAGGGGTTGTGGGGATAGGCTGTTGGGGTGGCTGGCTGTGGGGGGGCAGCTGCCTATTGGCTTCTGATCAGCTGGTTGGTGGCCGGTAGGCAGAATGGGCTCTGTTGTGGGAATCTCTGTTGTGATTCTGGAGTCTCTAAGTACCTGGGGGGAGCTTTCCTGTGGGGGTCCTCTTTGTGACTATATAACTTGGGTTCCATGATCCAATGTTCACCAAACTTTCAGGAGTTGTAGAAAGGTGTCTGAGGAAGCTTCCCTGCAAGTCTGGTGTCTCTAGGTGGTTGGTGGCCAGTGTTATAGTAATTTAAAGTGCACATGAATTGACAGATTGATCCATTAATTCGTCGAAGAATATTTGTATATTCGTATTCATTGATCCATTAACCTTGATGAATAACGGATCAAAACAAATTGCCATTTTTTAAAATTTGTCCCCATCTCTACTCGTGAGTCTACAAATTCTCAGTGGTACCATATTGCTTGCCAGAGCATTGTCATGACTTTGAATTGGAACATGGGAACTGGGTCTCATGTAATATTTGATTTTGACATAAAGGAAATGAAAATAATGGGCACAGAGAGGGAATTTGTGGGCAGGGCTTCAGGGGAGCAATCAGAAGAGGCTGTAATAAACTCCAAACAGAAATGCAAACATGAAAGGAATATGTTGTAAATAACCATATGGTCAATGGCTAGGGGGAAGGGAGTTAATGAACAGTCAATCAGTTTAGTAAAAGAGCTTTAATCTAAGTCCAGAGGAAAATTCCTATAATCAGCCTGCTTAGTGCAACTCTATGATGACCTTAAAGCTCAAGCTTTCTAATGGCTTAAGAGGATCAGTAGTAGTAATGATTATACAGTGTTTCACGTAATGAGGTACCTGAAGTTCAGAACTGGGGTTAGAACTATGAATTATATTTAAAATATGTTTAGCCCATATTTAAGAAGCAAACTGTCTCAAGATGGCTTGCACAAGAAAGCCTAGTAAGGTAGTAAACATGAAAAATTAATAATACAGTACTGTTATATATCAGAACTAGCAACCAGTTCAGAAAGTGCTGAATTCCAGAACTGAACAGAAATCAAGGACCACCCAAAGCCCAACTAAATTACAAGTTAAGAATTAGACAAAGGAAAGTGTGAGCCTAATAGCTTTGTCCCTGCTGTGGAGTGTGGGCCTTCTACCTCCTTGTGAGAAAGTATGCACCTCCACACCTGCAGCTCGCCTGTGGACTGTGGTGGAGAGTTGGATGATGCCCTAGAGGGCATGCAGGTGAGTATGGGGACTTGGAGATTTAAGTAGGAGACTGAGTCAGAAGGGTAGGGGAAGACTACAGGGCTGATGCACTGGAGACCCTGGAAGCCAAGGAAGTGACCACGATGGTGGAATGTTACAATGAGAGTTGGGAAACTCAGCACTGGCCATTAGGGGAATTTTGTATCCATTTGCGGGAAGTGGCATGGGTGCACCACAACAAGGCTAGATGACGGGAGGTAAAGTACTGCAAGAACCAGCACCCAACATGCTACCATCAAAGGAAGCCCCAGAGGCACCCTTTCCAGATGCCAGGGGCCAGCCAGAGGGATCCACCTTCCATTCCTCTGCTGCAGTCACTGTGCAAGCAAGACAAGACCTCCTGGGTCCAGTTGGACGTTGGGCATGCCTTGCAGTTTCCTTGCTGAAATCTAAAAGTGTTGCTACTTCTGACCTGGGCCCGCCCTTTCTAGAAATGGTGAATTGTCCCTGATGCTGTCAAATCTAATGACAAGCAAGACAAAGCAGGAAAATTGTGACATGGCACAATAGCAACATACATTGTTACTGATGTCTTAGGACTGAGTGTGGAGCTATTTGTTTGTGATACCTTGACTTGTATACCTGCCACTGTGCATGTGAAAGATTGCTTGCACACTCAAGCAATTTATTTTATTGAGTTTTAGTGGTGGTGATGCACACTCATACGAGCAGAGGATACCTTTGATATCCTTAGAGAGCATAAAGTCATAGGCACATACATGACAACCACAGCTGCCACGACTGCAGACAGGAATGGTAAAATATACAGCTAAAGAGCATTCACCAGATTTCTATGTGTGCATACAATTTTAATTTTCAATCTCTTTGTTTAGTAGATGAGAACTTTTTCCTTTATTATGGGGTTGAATCTACCAGAAACATTCTTCTGGATGACTGAATAACTTCTCTATCCATTCTCTGGTGCTTTTTTTATAAGAAGGCATACAAATAAAGGACTTTTAAATAATGAATGTTAATACTTTCTTTTTAATATTGAATACATTTATACAACCAGTGTCAAATTGTTTGTTTTTCTAAATTCACAGAGAATGTTAATAACTAGCTGGGCTCCTGTGTCCTGGAGAAGGAAAATTATATTGATGGCAGTTTTTTTGTGGGGAATATGAAATCCTCTTTCCAGTTGTTGGCCTCCAGATGTGCAGAGACTACTATTGTCCAAAGACTACCAAGATTACATATTGCTGGAGACATGTAAATAAATGAGGTGCAGTTAAGCCAAGCTGATTTGGATGGATGAATGAAGAAGGCAGAATGTAAAGTAACCTGAATTCTTTCCCTGGTGTTTGACAGTTGAATTCTTTCCCTGGTGTTCACTTGTTTCATTTCTGTATGTAGCAGACAGAAGTGGGTGAGGTGAAAATCCTGATCTTGTTTGAAAGCTCTGTTGTATTGCTCAAGGTTAATTTTTAATTGTACACATTTGCAGAGCTCCTGTACAGAACAGTGATTTACTACTCCGGATGCAACAAGCATACATTTGCTATTGTTGATGGGTGCTCAGAACAGTTTGGGGGGCGGGAAATGGCTGGCTGTACAGCTTGTGCAATTAAGCCTCTTGTCTATGTGATGCTCGGCAGTTATCTAAACTTGAGTTAGATCAGCATTTATAGACCAGATTAGATGAGACATGGGAGATCTATAATCAGGTCTCCTGGGGTCGTTTTTTTTTTTTCTTTCTTTCTTTTCTGTTTTGCTTTCTGTTTGTTTGTTTTGGGAGAACTGATCTTGTAGCATGGGGGAATGGGCCAATGTTGACACTTGATCTATAACTATAACCACAACAAAATCCGTTTCCTGATTTACATAAGAAACAAAAAAAATGGATAGGTGTGCAGTTAAGCCAGTTGTGAATAATTATGCACAATGCAACTCTGGTTGGGATCTTCATTACATCGTACCAATTTTGCAAGTGCCTCAGAAAGGCTGTGCAGATTGTGGAACCATTAGGAGGAACCAAAGGATAATGTCTGCATTTTGCTAGATATTTCTAGGAAATCCTTTTATACTACCAAACATTTACTGTGGCATTTTGAACAGCATTGTAGTACAATGTGTATATGACCCATTCTGTGTTAGCAGACACCCATACTTCCTTCTTCCCACACCCCCTCTTTTGTTCTTGTTCTGTGCTGTCAAGTCAGCTAAGAAGTAATAACCTTAATAATAGCCTTAGAACTGCTGAGCTGGGAGGGACCCTATGGGATCAGCAAGTCCAGCCAAGGAGGCACAGTGGAGAGTCAAACTCCCAACCTCTGGCTCCACAGCCAGAGACCTAAGCCACTGATCTATGGCCAGCATATGAACGAGTGACCTCCAAAATGTCCTATCATGAACAGCCCTGCTTAGCTTTTGCAAGCTCAAGGCTGTGGTTTCCTTTTTCAAGTCCATTCTTCTCATATTTGATCTTGCTCTCTTCCTGCTGCCTTCAACTTATCCAAGCACTGTAGTACCTTGTGATGAATAAGGGCTTCTTACGATGTGTCCAAATTCAGTCATGTTTTAGATTTACAAAATACTGCACCATTGCTGGAAAATAGAGAAATGGGATGTATTTGCTGAAGTTTTCCATGTAAAAATATGGTGGTGTGGTTGCTCCTATCTCAGTTCAGTTAGAGGCCATCATCTGTGATACGTTCTGTGCCATCTTGTCTTTCCTTGTGATATTAGTTAGCACGCATGAAACCTAAGCAACAACATCATGGTGGGTTTTTATGAATAAAGCCCATTATTTGCCATAGAGTTTTTCTAGCTCTGGGTTCTCTTAACCCAGAGCTATGGAAAGTGTGGCCCTTTGGAAGTGGTGGGTCTGCAGCTCCCATTATCCTTCACTGCTGATTGTGAAAACAACAGAATGAAATTTAATAGGGGTAAGTGCAAAGTTCTAAACCTGGAGGGAGGGAAAACAAATGCACAGTTTTAAGATGTGGGATACTTGGCTCAGTAATATTATGAGTGAGAAGGATCATGGAATTGTTTAGGATGCATTTGCAGAAGTCAAGTATCCAAATCCCATATGGTACTAATCTCCCTCTATTCAGCACTGGTTAGGACTCATCTAGAGTGCTATGTCTAGTTCTGGACACTTCACTTCAAGAAGGGTGCTAACAAACTTGAGCAAGTTCAAAGGAGGGCAACAAGGACAATCAAGGGACTGCAAACCAAGTTCTGTGAGGAAAGACTTAAAGAACTGGACATGTTTAGCCTTGAAAAAACAAGATGGAGGGGAGAGATAATAGTACTTTTCAAATACTTGAAAAGTAGTCATGCGGAGGAGGGGCAGGATCTGTTCTCGATCATCCCAGAGTGCAGGACATGTAATAATGGGCTCAAGCTACATGAAGTCAGATTTAGACTGAATATCAAGAGAAACCTCTAAATTGTTAGAGCAGTATGACAGTGAAACTAGTTACCTCAGGAGATGGTGAGCACTCCAACACTGGAGGCATTCAAGAGAAAACTGGACAACCATCTATCAGATCTGATTTGTTTTAGATTCCTGCATTGAGCAGAGGGTTGGACTCGATGGCCTTATAGTCCCCTTCCAACTCAATTATTCTGTGATTCTATGCAGGCTAGAATGAGGAGCCATGGTCCACCAACATCTGAAGGGTCACATGTTCTCCATCACCTTCTTAGTCTGTACCTTTGCATTGATTCTCTGAGAGTGCACATGCTGCTCATTCCACGGAATAGGTTATCAAGCAAGTAATGCCATACAATACTGTTAGACACCTTCCCCCACCCCCACCCCATGTTTATTATATTATAAATCGTTGTGTTCTTCAGTCAGCTTCTCTGTGAGAAATTAAAGAGATAATCAGTGAGAAATTAACAGTCTTCTGGATGGAGAAAGCACCGAATTAACAGCTGACTGAACAATTATGTTTGCATTTGTAGATCCGTGCGTACAACAGATCAGAGGTTGAATTACTTTGTATGCAATATTTGTTTAACCATGTTTATAGCACTTAAGGAATACTGCCATGACAATCAGGTACCTCAACACTTGCAGCTCTGAGAGGTAGCTGGACAATTTGCAAGGCATGTTGTCTATATTCCCCAAAGACAGGCTCTCACCACCTATGTCTTTCATAACTGCAAGGCTTAGATTCGTGTGGAAAGAATAGTCTAATTTAAACATCTTAGTAGTCAAATTAGCATGACCAGCACAGAGTGAAAATAATCTTCAGTCTAAAGAAGAAAGTGAAAGTACTGTAACTCCCATTTCCAGTTCAAAGCATTTATTAGGGAATCGAGCAGAGAGGAGCTGAGGAATAAGTGATTCTTTTTTAATGTAAAACCATTAGCTATCTGAGCTTTTCAGGATCCTAGCCATGACTCAACTAAAGCAGTTTCAGGGGCTTCCTTCTATAGCTGCAAACTGGTCTTGCCTCTTTGGCAAAGAGAACAGTAATCACTTTTATGAAACTGCACCCAGAGATGCAAATTCAAATTGCTCAATCATTAGCCTTAGATGACCTGATGGTTTGAGACTGAATCAATCTGGAATGTGCACAGAAACATGAAGTGGAGTCTCCAACTGCCTATCCAGTCACATGGACTATGAAACTTTAATAAGCTGCCTCAGTCTGAGTCAACTCAGTAGACTGTGCACTGTAATATTGTCAATAGTAACTTGCAACAGCTGTCCACCATTCCAAGAGAGTCTTTCCAGCCCCATTTGGAGATTCTGGGCCTGAAGTTGGAATATTCTGCTTGCATAGCATGTGACCTACTGCTGAACTATGTCCTCTCCTCTTATTATTTTTCTTCACTGTGTTCTTAGGTCAGAAGTGGGTAATTTGAGCACCTGCTGCCTTTCTTGACATTGCAGCTGTAAAGGATGTACCATTTGGATTTTTTTAGATGACCTCTCCAGAATTCTCCATGATCACAGTTTCCCAACTGGGACTGGGGCAGCTTCCTTTTTTAAAAAACAGGAAGTTAGAGGGGTG